CTTTTTATAAAATAAAATGAAGTATATGTTAACAAAAAAATGATAATGTCTCTGTGTAAAGGTTAGAGTAACTACATACACATTTTTAGAAGTCAATTTTACAAATTTTTGAAAAACACTATTCTAAATTTTATAAAATTACATTATTTTACAATTATGCATTATGCATAACATTATTTCACTCATAGCAATTACACAAATAATTACATATAGTTATACATATCTGTATATACGTATATATATCCATATATATATGCTATGATACCAAAAACAAACATATTATCAAATCAGTGAAATTATTTCTAAAATCATCATAATATTCTTCACAAATTTCCTTGGAAGTACACTAATCTGATAAATGGAACACATTAAAACAAATACACATTAGATTCCATCAAAAACCAAACACGGAATGAAACGAACGCTTCACATGTACAATGTCAAATGAAATGTCAGTTTTTTCCATATAAACTGTGCTTTCATCGATGATTTTGGCCATTTACATCACTCACATTATTGTATGAAAAGCTTTCGTCTAACATTCAATGGTTGTATCACTATCACCATGTAAGGCTGCTATTATTACCTCCAGTTGTCGGATATCTACCATCCAACATCATACATATGATAACATGGCCTTAGGGACGATGCTACAGACTGGAAACTTCCCAAGTGAATGCAAATCCGCTAAATAATAGAATTGCCAGGGTCAGTGGTGCTAATTGTGACGGTTGTATGTCATTTGACAGAAGGAAATAAACTTCCAGCGAAGTTTTGTGTCAATTGCCTTACCCAGCTATGCACAGTGATTATTTATACTGCAGAATGCGAGCAGTGAATGGAATTTTGGCGGGAGGCGTATCGATATCCAAGATTCCCGTGTCGTTCGACGCGTAGAAACCGTCGATATTTACACGTCCGCCAAAACAACGGTCCGTTCTTGCAAGTCTGTTCGCAAAAGTTTTCGTTGAGAAAGATATTCACTCAATTGTCATCCGTGGTTGTGGCCTATTTGGTTGGACGCGTTTTCTCGTCAATCACCGAGGAATGCACATCGCTACGTGGCACGGCACGATTTTCACTTACATTTCTCACGACACCGCGTAAACATCGCCATGTCAAAGGTGGTGCATCGCGGGGAAAACAGTATTTATAGTGTGAATACGAGGAAAACAGACACAAAGGCGTCCATTTTGCTCAGCAGCGAGTTAGCGGAAGTTGCGTAGTAGATACAGGCTAGATACAGGTATACCGGCGCTACGGCGTCTTATTTCGAATTACGGTGAACCGTTCGCATGAGAGCGATACAGTTAATCCGAATTCGGCACCTTTTGTTAAATATGTATATATATAGCGATACCGTTAGGTACTAATTTTCGTTCGCATGTATTTTCTATCTGTCCATTTTATTGCTCGATAGTAATGGTCGAACGAAAATACCTGTCATTTTATTGCAAGGAAATAACTTAACAAGGGACAACTTAT